CAACATGATACAACCACCATGAACAAATTGTTTCATGCATTTTTTTGCATTTATAAAGCACTTGTATGTTAAATGTCAATAACAAATTGCATCTCTCCTTTTCATAAACAATCCACTCGGCATGTACCATAGTTGTGTTCCAAGGTTCCACAGCGGACCTGCAAGATTGTCTTCATGGTCACGTGGACAGAATGTCTGCCTGGTCTCAGATCAAGACACGTTAAAAGATGGTACTTAGACCTACCCTGCCTGCTGCTCAGCATCAAGAGTAACACATGTGCACACGCATGCACGCACGCACACACTCACACATGCACATGTACATGCACACGTACATATCTCTATATAATTGCAACATCTCTATGGTTTAATTCTGACCCAATGAACACATATAAATTACAGGAGAAACAGTTCACACCATCAGAAGTAAAAACAACATCAAAATCAACATTTTTTTGTGTGAAAATTTAATAAATCAAAGAATGGCTAACAAAATATATAACTATCAAATACAAAAGAGTTGTTCAATCACTTCAAACTTTGGGACACAAAACAAATGAAAACATATACCTGTCGCTCTTAAAATGATAAATTTAAGAAAAATATAAATATAGCTTCCCAGAATATACATCGCATGTCTTAAAATGATACATTGCAAGATATTAGAGTGACACAGAGCAAAGCATCAGTTTCACAATCATTCAGTTTTACTTGCTACAAATTGATGAAAATTGAAAGAAAGACTCCCTACCTACTATATTGTATGTTGAAAATAATATCCGTATGTACAGGCAGTGTCTTTAACTCCCAATATATCACAATATGTATCACACTGCGAATACCTGTATCACAATGTATCACAATATGTATCACACTGCGAATACCTGTATCACAATGTGTCACAGTACATTTTCTTCATCGATACACAGCAATAAATCATTCTGTCTGGAGCACCTGTGAAGAAGCTCTCTTTCTGCTTGATTAATGTCCAACATAAGTGTTTCACATTTCAACATAACATGCTATGTTTGGTCTTTTTATAAGTCGCAGTATCTGAAAATATTTAGCAGCAATTCATGTTAAATGTTAATGTGAATTAACCAGAGCCGTGTATTGAAAAAGTCAGAGTTCTTTGGTTTTGGTATATTTATACAATATATCACACTATAAAACATGGCCTGCAGCATTACAGTAACTCAGATTATTGCACATGGGAACTGATGGTGAAACTGTTGATGGTGGAGTTAAACAAACTCCTTAATGTATTCACTGATGTGCATGAGAATGGTTTGATGCCACTTTTAGCAATATTCCAGGAATATCACGGCGGGGGACACCAGAAATAGGCTTCCCACATTGTATCCATGTGGGGAATCGAACCTGGGCCTTCAGCAAGACGAGCAAACGCTTTAACCTCTAGGCTACCCCACCACCCCTTTATTGATGTGGACAAAGATTGATAAAGTCAGGGAAGTCATACTGTCCATACCATCATGAGGCCATTTTGTTCCCACCATTGTGTTTGTGACTGGTGTCATAGATGAGCAGGATACGGTCACTTTTCACCTTCCGGTCATCCCTGTTTGATGGTGATTCATAAACACATCATCCCTGTCTAATGGTGATACATCACCTGCTCGGTCATCCCTGTTTGATGGTGATTCATAAACCCATGTCATCCCTGTTTGATGGTGATGGTGATGGTGATTCATAAACACATGCTCACCCGGGTCATCCCTGTTTGATGGTGATTCATAAACACATGCTCCATAAACACACCTGTTTGATGGTGTCATCCCTCACCCGCGCGTCATCCCTGTTTGATGGTGATTCATAAACACATGCTAGATGGGTCACCTGTTTGATGGTGGTCATCCCTGTCTGATGGTGATTCATAAACACATGCTCGTCTGCGTCCCTGTTAGATGGTGATTCATAAACACATGCTCGGTCATCCCTGTTTGATGGTGATTCATAAACACATGCGCGGTCATCCCTGTTTGATGGTGATTCATAAACACATGCTCCGTCACCTGCGGTCATCCCTGTTTGATGGTGATTCATAAACACATGCTCGGTCACCTGCGGTCATCCCTGTTTGATGGTGTCATCCCTGTCTGATGGTGATTCATAAACACATGTTTGATGGTGATTCATAAACACCCGCGGTCATCCCTGATTCATAAACACATGCTGATGGTGATTCATAAACATGCGTCACCTGCGGTCATCCCTGCTCATCCCTTGGTCTGATGGTGATTCATAAACACATGCTCCGTCACCTGCGGTCATCCCTGTTTGATGGTGATTCATAAACACATGGTCACCTGCGGTCATCCCTGTCTGATGGTGATTCATAAACACACACCTGCGGTCATCCCTGTTTGATGGTGATTCATAAACACATGCTTCTCTTGTCACCTGTTGCGGTCCCTGTCATCCCTGTTTGATGGTGATTCATAAACACATGCTCGGTCACCTGCGGTCATCCCTGTCTGATGGTGATTCATAAACACATGCTCCGTCATCCCTGTCTGATGGGTCATCCCTGTCTGATGGTGGTGATTCATAAACACATGCTCGGTCACCTGATGGTGGTCATCCCTGTCCCTGTTTGATGGTGATTCATAAACACATGCTCAGTCACCTGCGGTCATCCCTGTCTGATGGTGATTCATAAACACATGCTCAGTCACCTGCGGTCATCCCTGTATGATGGTGATTCATAAACACATGCTCAGTCACCTGCGGTCATCCCTGTCTGATGGTGATTCATAAACACATGTCACCTGCGGTCATCCCTGCCTGATGGTGATTCATAAACACATGCTCCGTCATCCCTGTCTGATGGTGATTCATAAACACATGCTCCGTCATCCCTGTTTGATGGTGATTCATAAACACATGCTCTGTCACCTGCGGTCATCCCTGTTAGATGGTGATTCATAAACACATGCTCAGTCACCTGCGGTCATCCCTGTTTGATGGTGATTCATAAACACATGCTCAGATTCATAAGTGGACTCTGCCTTAAGTAGAGATTTTCTTATGATTATGAAAAGGATTTTGTCCTTAATATTTTTGGTGAATGATTTCCACTTAGATGGGAGAAATCTAAAATAGAAAGACTTTTCAGATAAAATATTTTGTTCTTCTGAAGGTCACGTGAGTCTGTTGGCATGTCAAATAACCATGTCTCAATATTGAATCTGTTATAAATTACTGTGACTTATTGTCTTGTAATTAGATTTATATGTATTGTATGCACCCTTCTAATCCAGCTGAACACACCAGCTTGCGGTGTGTGACGTTTTTTCCAAATTTCACATTTTTAGGCTTGTGGAATCCAATATTTGTTGAAATTTACAACACAAGAGTTGTGGACTACTCCATTCCTTCGTATCATTGTAGTTTATGACTATAGTTAATGTGTCGTGCCATGACAGAAGAACTGTTGTCATACAGAAGAATGGAGTGGTCATAAACTATCTGTCAGTAGGATATTAACAACATACCTGTCAACTCTCATGCATTTGGCGTGAGTCTCACGCTTTATTGACAAATGTCACGCTCTCACGCCTCCAAATAATAATCTCACGCATATCTGGTAGCCAAAAATAATTTCAAAATTAATACGCATTTTCGTTCGTTTTTGCGTAAAGTTGAACATTGAAAGAACGCCTGAATGAACGAAGTACTAAAACGATGTTTATGCGAATGATTCGGCTTATTATTATTTATTAGCATGCATCTTTTAGTGTCAAAATGATGCCATCAGAAGGCTCCAAATGCTCCTGAAAATCACTAAACTTCATTTTTGGGGGCCCCCCACCAGGGCATCGCCCTCGACTTGACCCCATCTGGACCCAGGCTTATTTTTTTCAGTCTCACTCCAAACCATCTTTAGGGGTTGACAGCTCTGTAACAAGTTTCAGTAATTATTCATGTATATCTAACAGTTACAGTTAGATTGTCTCAGGGTATAAGTATTGAGTGCATTCTTCTGACTTTGAGGAGAGAGAAGCTTAATTGAGTATGGTATTGTCCAACCCGTCTGGTCCTGTGAGCTCTCACTTCAGCTTAATCGTTCTGCATCATCATGACTGGCACACCATGGACTGTTGACTTTGTCCGCTGACTGTGTAATTTGTGTTAATTTCCAAAATAGCCTCTGTTGTTCCTGCCATTTCCAATCTTTGTTGTCGTCACTTTCTCCAGCGGATCATTCCGCCAAGCAAATAGCTCCAAGGCAGGTGTGCACAGTGCATGTCCACGATTCAAGTTGCTGTTTACCAAAAGCATTGTTCCTGGCTATGCAAGCATTAGCGTTACTGACCTGCGCTTCCATGTAATTGACAGATAACTGACAAAATATTGCCCGATAATTCCACAGTCAGAAAACAGCATTGTGGGATATATCAGTCCCACATCGACATCACTTCCCTATCAATTTCATATTTAGAAAGAAAATGATGTACGATTGTTTTATCCACTTATTCCACGATAGCCTTCCCAGTAAAGTGGAAAGGGATTGTTTGTGAGATAGGGTGGGGAATTTGTACAACTGCATTTGTGATTTGCACAGGAAGGGCTCATCATTAGTATCAGTTGCAATCAATTCAGCAGCTATTGATGATCATAGACATTTCATCCTCTCCCCTCACATCATCCAGGTCGTCCATCCCCTTCACCTCTCGCAGTCCCGTAATCAATTACCTCACCGCTTGACTTTGTTGAATCAGACGCTCTTCACCAATGGAACTTGCTGCCTGGCAAATACCACCAAATTAAAGAATATGTTCTGGCTTAACAATGAGGGAGTAGTAATCGAGATGATGTTTTTTCACCTGACTTTACTATCAGTCATTGAGACCAATAAGTGGGTTTTCTTGTTACCTCTTTGTTATCTTCCAGTGCGCATTTTCTGATCGAGATGTTTCATGTTGTCGTGTGTCATCACTAGACAGAGCGGAGTTTACAATGATCTTCGTCTGTTCCAGGACCTGGGATATTCCTATGCCTTTTTCCTGAACTGCTGCTCATATCAACAGGATATTTTTTCAGCGGAGAAGAAATGAAACGGAAGCTGTCAGCGTCAAGATGAGGTAAGTATCTTCAGATTAACCCAGTCAAAGATCACCAGCCAGATAATTTCATAAATCTCCCTGGCATGATAACCCCATCTGGTGGTTATGCTGAAAGGATCTTTGACTGGGTCTTCCTGCTACTTAAGATTGTGTTTGAGAAATGTGGATGTTTTTAACTGGAATAGATAAATGATTATTGGTTGATGAGTAAGTTGTAGCAATGTGAAAAAATCTTTTATAAATGATACCTTAATACAATTTCATGCTTAAGTGTCATAATGCTCATATTTCTGAAACACATTGGTCCAAATGTTGGCACACTTAAGAAATGGTGTGGGTTTTTTTTCTTAAAATATTCATATGAATATTTGCCTTGTGAGTTGTTGTAGTGGGCTTGTCTTGTTGGTTACTTAAACTGCTGTATGAAAAATACCCCAAGTTTGTATTCAATGGAATATAAATGTAAAAAATAGCTCTTGGCTGGTTCAATGTTTTTCTGGTGTTTCTGTATTCGGGTCATTGGTTGGTTCTTTGGAATTGGCAAACAAATAAAAAACAAACCTTGCCTTACTATGGTGCAAAATGGTGTTAGCATCAGAATACCATGACATCGTGGATTCTTGACGGAGTCCTTTCGTGCTATCAGAACAGAGCACATTCTCAACACTGTTATTAAATATGCGCAGTGAAATACCAAAATAGCCAGGAATGCCAGCATGGAAAGATAAAGTTTTGATACCAATATTTTTTTCTGACATTCTTCAAGAATCAGATTCATAAATGGCAGTGGGGTGGTGGGGTAGCCTATTAGTTAAAGCGTTCGCTAATCACACTGAAGACAAGGGTTCGATTCCCCACATGGGTACAATGTGGGAGGCCCATTTCTGGTGTCCAGCTGCCCTGATATTGCTGGAAAATTGCTAAAAGCAACGTAAAACCAATGAATGAATGGATGGATGGATGGATGGATGGATGGATGGCAGTTCTTCATGTTCTGGCATGTTGGTACCTGTGCGTCAGCTGGTTTTATGTAGCAAGTTGGCTCAAATATCCCTTATTTGTCCAACAAATATTTGGACAATTTGTCAGTCTAAAATGCTTTTTTGCATTACATTGCTTGATCATGTCGCAGTTTAGGAGTACAAGTTAGCTTTAATTATGCAAAGTAAATACCACAGATATAAAAAGTGAAACAGGAATTGTTCAAATGAAAGTTCAATATTTGTTGCACATAATAACCTGTACCAAGTGTTTTAAGCATTTTTCAAATCGTCAATCCGTGGTATTTGACAAGAGTCATGATGAAGCGGGACTACTGTACAATTAGGCTTGATTTATCTAAGCCTTAAATCTTCATGCATAAACACAGCCATTTGATGAAGTGCACGTTTGATGCATGTTCCAATAATGTCCATCATTACAGCATCGTTTAGATGACATTTTCAATCGTGGACAAGCACGCCTAGAGCTGTCTGCATCAACATTATAGGGCTGGAGTAATGGTTTTGAAGAACAAAGTATGTTTACTCGACTTTGTGGCTGGTTTTCAGGTCCACCTGGAGGCAAGAATATACAGACAATGTAAATGTCGAGTCTGGGGTCTAACTATCTGAACGTGTTGGATACAGTTGTGGACGGTAATGGCCTCCACCTGCAGCAAATCTGGCCTTATTCAACCAGCAGACTCAGTCTTTTGGCTGTGAGGCAAATATCAGACTTTCAGTGGTTTTGGAAATTCAATTGTTGTGTTATGTTAGGTTACAGAGGCAAAATTGTGTTGCTAATGAATTACCTCAAGACAGAGTTCAAGTCATGAGAGCCCAGTTGTTGGTGTTCATTTCTTTGTATACATAATACTTAGATGGTCATTTTTGTCAAAGGTGACAGTTTCATGAAGAAGGGGCAGTTGTGTTGGCTATTGAAAGAATTATCTTTTTTAAACAAATTATCTTTTTGATATGTTGTTTCGATAACCTTATTGGCATTGCAGGTGGTATCATTCAGTGCTCAATAACCAACTATTCAGGCAATAGACTTTGTATAATTTGTCTAAGTATAGCAAGACCTTTTGTCATGACCTGAATGCACTAGTTTGTCAATGTGTGGGTTAAATGTTATTTGGTCCTGTAATCTGATTGGTTAAAGACATGATAAAAGGATGTTTGAAGAAAAGTCTCATCCAAAGACAGTCTGATTAACATTCCTTAATATGTCTCTCTTGAAAAGGGTGGTGTTTGAAGAAACATTGAAAACTATGTCACATGGAAATGAAGATGTCATGAGGCCATTTTCAAAGAGTGATTGAAGTGGTACTGCATTGTAATATCTAAAACAATGGGACCACTTCCCCAACCCCCTACATCCTGCAGTAAAACACCCACCTCACCCACCACCCCGCCCCTATATCCACCAGTGAGCCCTAGCGGCTGTACCTGCCAGTGCCTACTCTACCACCCCCCTCTAACCTGAGGTGGCATGTTTCATCCACGGCCATGATAAACTTACAGGAAACATCACACAGTTGAGATAAGCATCTCCAGAGACACATTTCTTCAATGTTAATGTCTCCAGTTTGAATCACTTTTTCACAACATGAAAACATTGAGAATGATAATCAAGAAAGTTTTCCCCATTACAACTTGTATTAAAAGCTCAAATGGAGATAGTGATGCTTGATGCAATGAGATACTAAAGACTCATATGCTCTGACTCAATGACTGATAAGCCAAATCCCCTTTCTGGAAATACATTAACTCAAATGACTAAGTATAATGGCGTTGTTTTTGCCACAGCATGATGAGCTTATGTCTTGAAATCATGTATGTATCAGCTAAAATATTTTACAAGGAAATGATGTTGATGTGATGAGGCCGTGTTTTATTCCTGATTGCCAATTCCTTCAAGAACATGACCCAACCAGACATGCGTCCAGGTTTGTCGAGTGTATACTATTGCAATGGGGTTGGAAGTATTTCAGTACTATTGTAATATATAACATGACCTGGATATTCACACCAAGAAATATGTCTTCTTCTTTCATTTCATCTCTTCAGCTCTGATTTCTTCTTTCTTGAATTATGTCAGCACAGGGTTTAATTTCAGTCCAACCGATAGGAAAACTTATTCACCTATTTGGAACCTAGCAACGATTTTCAGATGTAACACAGGTTTAGAACTCTGGTCAGTTTAAGGGCAGACAACTCAGCATACTTCTTTATCCCCAGTGCCTCAAAACAGGGGAGATATGGACATCAGTTTGAGTAATCCATGGTTTAGGGAGGATGTTTGTTTATCTTTGCGTGTAGTATCTGTTGTATTCTGGTGCCAGCACCCATGAGGACCAATATCCTCCCATCTTCGTCTAGATGTACCTTTTCTCACTGCCGAGGAGCAGATGGCCTGAGTTGAATTCTATTTTATGAAATTAGGAGAAGCTGCACTTAGCTAAACATTTCTATGATTCATGGTATAGTTTCTGAGTGAAACTTCAACAAATATATCAAATTTCTATCTGCAATAAAGAAAAAGCCACTTTATCAGTTTCTTGGATCTTCATTATTAAAGGAAAGCAATGTCTTACATTGACATTCTCAAGTCTGAAGGTAAATGTCTTTTGTACAACCATTCAAATCCAGTAGTGCTTTTTCAACAGCAGTAATAACTGCAGCAGCCATGTTATGTCATCGCAATGAGAATACAGTTCATGCAGTGTCAGCTCTGTATGTACATTTTATTGCTTGTAAAGCTTGTTGCCTGTATTGTATTTTGTAAGATACATCTTCTGAGTAAGATATAAAGCATTGGATGCCTTGTGCATTTGCAAATACACTGTAGATGTCAAAGATAATTACAGCTGATGCTCAATTTAAAAATGGCCTTTCAAAGTTTTCTGCAAAACGTACATTGGGTGATGGGATTAGGAAGAGATAGTCGTAGCAGTAACTCTTAAAGAGTAGACTTAAAACAGTTGGAACTCTGCTCCTAAAACACCGACTAAAGTCATTTGACTCTGTTCATGCAGACTAAGGACAGTCGTAACTCTGCTCCTACTTACGACACTCGTAGTTCTGTACTTCTGATGTATAGACTAAGGACAGTCGTAACTCTGCTCCTACTTACGACACTCGTAGTTCTGTACTTCTGATGTATAGACTAAGGACAGTCGTAACTCTGCTCCTACTTACGATACTCACTCATAGTTCTGTTCCTCTGATGTATAGACTAAGGACAGTCATAACTCTGCTCCTACTTACGACACTCACTCATAGTTCTGTTCCTCTGATGTATAGACTAAGGACAGTCATAACTCTGTTCCTACTTATGATACTCACTCGTAGTTCTGTTCCTCTGATGTATAGACTAAGGACAGTCATAACTCTGCTCCTACTTACGACACTCACTCATAGTTCTGTTCCTCTGATGTATAGACTAAGGACAGTCGTAACTCTGCTCCTACTTACGACACTCGTAGTTCTGTACTTCTGATGTATAGACTAAGGACAGTCATAACTCTGTTCCTACTTACGATACTCACTCGTAGTTCTGTTCCTCTGATGTATAGACTAAGGACAGTCGTAACTCTGCTCCTACTTACAACACTCAATCATAGTTCTGTTCCTCTGATGTATAGACTAAGGACAGTCGTAACTCTGCTCCTACTTACGATACTCACTCGTAGTTCTGTTCCTCTGATGTATAAACTAAGGACAGTCGTAACTCTGCACCTACTTACAACACTCAATCATAGTTCTGTTCCTCTGATAGTTCTGTTCCTCTGATGTATAGACTAAGGACAGTCGTAACTCTGCTCCTACTTATGATACTCACTCGTAGTTCTGTACTTCTGATGTATAGACTAAGGACAGTCGTAACTCTGCTCCTACTTACAACACTCAATCATAGTTCTGTTCCTCTGATGTATAGACTAAGGACAAGAATATGACCTCGTAGTTCTACATGTAAGCTCCTACTTATAACAGTAATCCTACTGATGTATAGACAGAGGAAATCGACACTGT